AGAAGTATGAACAAATTTGATTTAATTATCGTGCACGTGTAGAGCAGTTGATAAACAGAATTATTAAACTTTCTTCTCTATCAAATTATAGAATATTATTTTTTTTTGTCTTATACCTATAACGCTGATTAATTATACAGAAAAAGAAACGGTTACAAAATTGCGCAACGATTATTTCTTACATCAGTTTATGATAATTTACTCTATAACACCAGCAAAATTATATATTATTCAAAATCAAATTCGTATTATATTTTTTGTATTATGAATAAATTATTTTTTTTAACTGCCGTGAGTAAACACATTTGAAATGTATTAAATTTTAAAACTAACGTTTACCTAATATTGTATTATGTCGTACCTATACCGGCTCTATTATGCACATTAAGAGCCACACGAGATATATACATATTACGAGTATTTTCAATATTAGCGTTTCGTCGTTCGGGCTATTTAGTATTTATTATAACTATTATTAAGTAGGTATATAATACCTATAATGTCCTATACTCATTACTCATATATACTAATTATGTGTGTATATACGTACATGACGTGATAAAATTCGTAAGCCCCGCAAATAAGCATGCTTAAACAACTGCAGTTCTATGTAAAATAGATTAGGTATTTAAAGGGTCTTACCGTATATTGTATTATAATAATATTATGTGGTCAGATAATAATATAATTTTTCATTGTCTATGTTGACTATACCGATAAAATTACAATATAATTCCCCGCGAGCACGTGTATTGAATCGTAGTGCAAACAAAATATTATGTGACTTTATTTATAATTCATACATAATATATTGTAATATATATAGGCAATATTAATCATATGCAACCATTCGTTATCATCTATATTTTTGTCCACGACCCGCGTGATTATGTCAAGGTCACCTACATTCGAAGGATTGTAGTCAAATTGTTTTTAAATCAAATTTTGAAATTGATTATACTCGCCACTATTTTTGACATTCTCGAGCTGTTGTTATAGCTGTAATTTAAAATTATTTTCGTACTATTAGAGATGATTGTAAGTGCGTACCTATTTAAAAAAAAAATGTTCACTCGAAAATTTAACTGTGCCATGTGATAATAATATATAAAACAGTAATAACGCATGAAACTTTATCAATTATTACACATTCGGTGTCCCTCTGATGATGTACCACACGGGTATTCAATGTAAAAAATTCAAAATTACAGAAAGCTGCATTCCCACATATCCGAACTAATCAGCCTAGCCTAGCTAGGTAAAGACATATCAAACTTAATTTCGTTTATAAAAAAATCCCAATAATAAAATTTAAGGTAATAATATAAGATACCTAGTTTTATATATTATATTATATAAATATACAATATTATAGTAATGGGGATGTATAAAAAAAAATATGTATATACGTTTGAAATTTTTGTAAGCATCAAAGTATTGAACTAGTAGATATCGTGGTAATAAATAAGATAACATAGTGAACTCGACGAACCACATTTTATTTCATAATTTAATCAAAATACTATAATAACTATAATACTGTACATATTTTACTTGTAAAGGTAGGTAATTTTATTATTTCTTGAATGAAACGACTTACTAAACATAAAATCAATAATAATTTTCTCGTATAATTACATAGTATTATGTGAAAATTTTATTTTCCATTCATACAATAACGTTAACCGATTAGTAGGTATATGATATATGAAGAGGTGCATCATAATAAACTATAAAGCATAAATTATTCAAAACTCGTGTTTATTTCTATAATATTTCAAGGTGATCGATTAAATTTAAAAAAAAAACAATTGAGTATTTTGGCATACAACACTCGTGCCCACCTCGATAATCGACGTAATTTTTTTTCCGCTAGTCGTAAGCGTGCGTACATTATTTCGAAGAGAAAAAAAATCGAGTTATTTCTTTTGCTATATTTTAATGATGTTGTTTTACATGTTTAATTAGATATATACCAACACAATTTGTAATACGTGTAGATACATACCGGTTGTGTTATTTTACGGTTAACGAAACTAAATTTAATTATTAGTTTTGGCACTGTCCTGACACAATTGCATAAAGCATTCCCAAGTTTCTGACATAGATGAGTTGTAGACTGAAATACCGAAATTATTAGTAGCAAAGTGATAATTATTTATTACGATTGAATATTGTCAATGATTATAGTAAAACGGTATAATACAAAAATATATATGTATATATTTTAATAATATACCAAATAAATAGTATTAAACTCCAATATGTTACATTTTTTAAAATCAATATTGGTATTGTTATATTTTGTAAGTACCTACCAATCATTCTGCAGGAGAGGAACTCAACAAAAGTACATCTGAAGTAGTAAACAAACGCACAAAGATACCTACTCGACAATTATTTTGTTTTTTTTAAGAATTTCCGTTTCACTGCAACATGATTGTACCTACCTACTAAATATGTAGTAATTTTCTCGCGGACTAGTAAATTTATTGAATACTATTTGAATACTTGATGTAAAAGTCTCGCTCTAGTGGTTTCTAGCTGTTTACGAGGCACAACTTATTTTATCTATTTATGTATAATGTATATAATTATTAATATGTTATGCAAATTTATAACAGTTGAATGTTCAGACGTTCAAAACATTTTTTTTAATTCATTTGAATTCATATAATTTGGACTATCTACATACTATCCGCTGCAATCAAAAAAAAACTGTATATTATTATATTAATATTATTTAAAGTTATAACTCAAAATTAAAGATACTTGAAAATGTTTTATAATGACAACGGTATTAAACAATTGTACATTTTTATTTTTATTTTTTTTAATAACTATAAAATTAAAATAAAACTAATAACGTGCGTCCGTGCACGACTAGTGCAAAACTAGGTTGTGACAATAATTAAGAAAATTAAATAGTATAATATTATTATTGTCAAAAGTGTTGTTAACTCTAAATTGTTTAAATTATTATTTTTAATTAAAGCATTAAATATATAAGTAAAGTTATATTTTTAAAAAATAAACTGATAATTTACTCATTCAAACATAGGTAATTAACTATAATATTATACTTATATAATATTACTATAATCACTAATAAATATACCTAAAGCATAATATAACAGTATAATTGAATTCGTTGCAGGGTAACTATATAATTTCTTTCACATCATTTGAGAAATAATGTAACACTTTAATAATTTTAATAAATTTTAATTAAATGCTTAAAACCAAAAAAGCTAAACAAAAAAAATAAAAAAAATAAATAATTCAATATCCTTGTAGTATTAATCAATCGATTAATTAAGATAAAGTCTTGTTAAATAAAAATATATAATCATACATTGATTAAATTTGAAATAAACACAAACCGTATTGCCGCAATAAATGGTGAAAAAAATTAGATAAAACGGCCAAGGTAATAAAATATAATATAATATATTTATAAATTTATAATATATTGTATGAAACCAATAAGCGAATGTCTATACCTACATAAATATACAGACCATTTATTGAAGGAGGCGGACCTACTCGAGTACGGCATAAAACAATTTAAATATAAATTCATCGTACCCTTTCTAATATCTTTTAATAACATATAACTATATAAGTTACCCATATTACAGAAACCAACGTATTAGAAAATGTTGGCATCCCACTCTATAATCTTTTAAACTATTTATACAAAAAAAAAAAAATAACTCTTGCTTAAACAAATCTAATACACCTTTTAATAGTACGCACATTGATTGAATATTATAGGGAAATAATATTAATTTAAAATTTGTTTAAATTACCTTATTTATCAGTTATGACTACCAGAGACTACACACACACACACACACACATACAAGCACTAAAAGGGATGTAGATACGTAAGTCATACGAAATGATGGGTAAACCGATAGAGTATAATATTATATATTATTACATACCTTTCACCATATTTTAAACAGTGCAGCCTTGAACGACAAGGAAAATAGTGAATATTATAAGACGAGAAGTACGTATATATACAGGGAGAAAAAAAGAAAACACGAATACGTCATCAAAGACTTTAACTACCAACGAGTGCGGTGAAAGTCAGTCAAGCGATCGTCACCGACGCTGTACTTATAATGACCAATACTACAGCGGTGAGGGACTAAATGTATCGTGAAATCAGTGCAGTTGGAGGACACCGTGATAAATAGGTATTACAGTTTATAGTGCAGAATACAGCAGTATATTATACTGGGAAATGATCAAGTGAAGGGAAGGGAATATTAGATTCACCTGATTGATGTATAGGTGCTTAAAAGATAGTTTATATAGTATCACGTACGTATATATAGTACACTGGTTTTTGTTTCGTCCTGCAATCTATTGACTTAACTTGGCTTTGTGCCGTTGTAGCAATAGTCTGGAGGATATATTGGTAGGTAATGGAGGATATATTCCGGCTCGTAGAAATCGCCGATTCCTAACGATCCTCAAACATCCTTCCGGAAAACGACATTGTAGTCTATTGAGAGTTATCGACTAACCCTTCGATCCATTAAAATTAATAACAGTCCTTGAATCAGACACTGTATTGAGGCATGTCGTCTAACTATACAAAACTCAAGAACTCAATATACTGTGTCACCACTCACCTCTATGGGTTCATATTGGATCTTCAGTCATCGCTATAGTCTCATGTTTATGACGTATTTGAAAAACCTTATTCTTGTACCACAATCATCTATATGGGAATACAAAAGTGACATGACGATTATCGTACGTAGATACTTACACAATAACGCGGTGTAGAGATTATTGAAGAAGTACGACATACGTGTTGGTGAACGCAGTTTCTGATAAAAAAAATATTCGTTTTTCCATTTACACCGATTTTATGTTTCGGGTTGAATATGATTTACATTTTACTGGTCGAGTATCGAATATATTATATTATATTATTTATGCATTATGCATGTATTATTATATTATGTAGTTTGGACGCGATGGCGTCCGAAGAAAGTAGAGATAATGCGTATGTCTATACTGCGCAGACAGCCTACCGTTCAAAACCAGCCTACAGACCGAAACCAGCATATGTATTCGTGGTTACCCCCAGACAGCAACGCCCATATACCAATGAAATGACGGTAACCCGGTTCCCAACCACTTCTCGGAACACAATTCGACGATACAACGGTCTTCCTACACGAATAAACGAGTTTAATTATAAATATTTTCTTTTCCCGTCGATCTTACGTTAGATATTTAGATTAAGTAAGGTTTTAATCAAAATGGAAAATAATTAACCCTTAAAAAAGTTCATTATAATAATATTGTAAAATCGTATGGTTTTCACACTTTTGATAACTAATGCTAATCCAATAAAAAACGCACTACCTACTCGCAGTGGCGTAGCCAGGGGAGTGGCTAAGGGAGCTATAGCCCCCTCCCCCCATTGACCGTGTTGACCTTAGAATTTTATCAAAATTAATAAAAAAATAAAAAGTGTAAATAAAAACCTATTGTATTTGATACTTACCCCCCCCCCCTCCATACAAAATTCCTGGCTACGCCACTGCCTACTCGTAACATCTTTACTTTTTATTTTATACAATAACATCATTACTTAAGCATTAAAATAATATAGGTATGTATAAATATAACAATATCAATAACAATTTTCCCCATCTGCACAGTATAAAACAAGGACTAAAGGACTGCTGAAGTTTCCACACTAGTGTGACACATATTATATCTATTACTAGTACTATTTAATTACTATTTTAATGTTTAGTCTAATATGTGTGAAAGCCCCCTACAATAATGATTCATGTACTGTTTACAAACATAATATTATTATAGAAATATCTTTTTTATCTGGCACGCATAATAATATTATTAATGGTAATTTAATATAAACGTATATATATAAGATGTAAAAATAAATCAATAATATATTTTATAATTGGACATAGGTAGAATGTGACGTTATAGGATAACGTGTTTATATTTTTAATGTGTACCTACCTACCAAGTACAAATATAATATATATTATTATAAACTCTACAGTTTACAATAATTATGATTGTAATGTCTTACACACATTTCAAAATTTAAAATTATCCAATATATCATTTTAATCACTGTTATACCATTTGATTTTAATTCTTCAGTTTTTTCGTTGTACGGCACTTTAAAAAGAGGTACCTATTTGAACAATTGGGTACAGGATATAATAGGACTACTTTATAATATTGTAAAGTATTTATTTTCAATCTGTATACCTACTTGAACCACGTATCTAGTATAACCGATACGATATTATATTATTATGAACTCTACAGACTACAATATAATAGACATCTAATTATTGTAGTGTCCAACACGCATTTTAAAACTTTAAATTTTTAACTGATCAAATTCTGATCATTTTAACAATAATTGTTTTAGCATATTTCATTTTCTTTCAATCCCACAGCAATCTACCGCAGCTACTGTGTGATAAGAAAGTAAATTTCAGAGAGGAAATTCGCAATAGTACCACACGTGAAACCGACAATAGGTTACAAGGTTTATACCTAATGAATGCGCATACGAAATATACACATGCACATAATAATCATACATAAAATACGGTTTTTTCGTTGTACGACATTTTATGGTATAATATAATATTGTCGTCGGCGGCGCACGCCAGCTTTCTATGTACTAGCGCAGCAAGTGGATGTAATGATAACATATTATTATATTAAGTACTCTTACAAGCATTACACGAGGTTATTATGCTCGATTATGCGTCGAGTCTTACACATCACATTTTATTACACGTAGAAAGTGTATCATAGTTGTGGGTAAATATTATGGCCTACTGCGTTATATTATATAGGTGTGACAAGTACCTTCAACTGCAGTACGGTTATGCCTGCTACGGGATTCGAATATTAACGAGAGGATGCGTTTTGCAGAGAGTCGGAAACGAGGAAAAAATCATAAAAATTATGGGTTTTTCACTAATCGCAGATGACGTGTAGGTATCAATAATAATATCATGTCAAACGCTCGCTCCCACGTGAATGTTATTGTTATACATGCATAATAATATTATAATATTCGCAAACGACGACGTTGTGAATGCGTGACAGTCGTTTTTAGGAAACGTGTGATGAATCCATCTGCATAAATATGATAACATTATTATAAGACCATAGCCAGAAGAAACGATACCTCCTATACACAGGGCCGGATTTAAGGTTGTGGGGCCCCTAAAATAGGTATATATAAAGATTAAAGACGAGTTTTCCCGTTCTCGGCTTTTACCTCTGACGTCGTCACGAAAACGATCACCTATTATATAGATACCTACTACTACCTAGGTATATATAATATATATATATGGAACAGGTCGATATAATTACATGCGTAGATGCACACAACATATTATTATTAATAATAAAATATGGTGGCTCGTTGCCACCGCGGTGTTATTAAATACATACAATTTACAGATGGGAGATACCGCAGCATGATACTTGTTATAGGTAGGTACTATTACTTTTTTATAAATATATTTATTTATAAATTTCTTATTCTCGCGAAAAAATTTTCCGAAACCGTATATTATATTATTATGTAAATACATTATGGAATAATATTCCTATATTATATGCATAATGTATAATATTATATTATATAATTTTATATTCAATACAAATACCGGATGGGGAGGAGACGGTGAAGGTTCGAAGGAAATATATTTGAACCACGTGATTCACAAAAAAATTAACGGTTGGGTGCCTTATGGTTGGAGAAGGTAGTTTGAACAACTTGTAAAGGTTATTTAACCGGCGTTTAACCACTAATCACCTACGAATTCATTATTTGCAGAGCAGTGACAACATTTTTTAGGGTGCCTGGTGGTGTAAAAATATTAAAATATGTGAGTCAAGGAGAAAAAAGTTCAAATCGTCTCTGGATGGAGACGAGTAATTAATTTACCATGATTGTTATATATTATATTATGATTATGATTATTATTTATTACCATTAGATATCAAAATAATCGATACCAACGCACCAAATAATCTCGATTTCAGAATTCTAAATGGGGCCGAGTTCAATATTACTCGTTTCTAAACAAGCATATTATAATATTAGCGCATATAATATTACGTTGGCGGGAAGACGGTAAGCACAAAACGTGAAATCTGAGAGCGATAGTGATAGCCGGGGCATTCGTCAATTATTGGTTTTTACTATGATTTCGCAAGGTTTTTTTTAACGCGCAATAAATCGTTTCTCCACGTGGCGTGCTGAATATAACATATATATTAAGTACCTATAGAATAATAATATTATAGAGTGTCAACGAACCGGTCGTCAGCGCTCAAACGCCCCTCGGGTTATTTTATTATTATAATTTTTTTTCTTTTAAAATTATTTTTTTTCACCGTCTATGTCAAAGTCGCAAAATGCCCGGCGGCTGCACCAGTTGATTAAAATATATATTTTAAATTATAATAACGCATGGCTTACAAGTATAGGTACAAGCTCGCTATAGAGTATATAGTCGAGTATGTTATACAGAGTGATACACCATCATGTAAAGGCCCCCCCCCCCGATTTTTACCATTCATGTATCATACATTTGTTGAAATCCTTTAATTTTCGTGATTTGATCAGAGGATTATGCAAATAAATGTAAAGCGGTGTTATTGGCATTTTAAAGTTATTATTTTGTATACCAAGGTATCCTTTAACAATTATAACACATTTGATAAATGCAATGCATCTAAAACTAATTTCGAACAAGAGTAGTTCCTGAGTTATTAAACTGTATATATTATAGGTACGTACTAAAGTCTAGAGATAAAAGTCCTTGATAGAGTATTTACATAATATTTAAATATATTTATACCTATTATAATAGTATTTATTGTTATTATACTCTGACAACTTTTGCAAATTATAATAATATTAATATTAATCTCACTAGAATTTCAAATCATCATACCCCTCCCATATCTTTTAGACCTATATATTATTATTACTTTTATTATTATCCTTTAAGTATTAATATTTAATACCTAAATCAGAAACTACTTGCGGTTATAATACTATATTTATATAATATAAATATATAATGTATCAACATTTTCGACCAAATCGTCTGCTCGACGATTTACAAATAATATGGTGTTATAAATTTCACAGCAGGCCTACTTGAAAATTCAATAAATCATTTGGATATTATACTATATATTATGGTTTTCATGATCAAACGAAATTAATACGGGGTTGAGCGTGCTCGGAGAATCGCTCTGTATACGTACACGAATAGTGGTACAAGAAGTAGGTACGAGTGCAGCTGCTGCTGGTATTATTGGTATCTTACAGCGAGTGCCGGTAAAACCGGTCGAAAAAATATCGGCAGCTGTCCATTAACAGTCTCGGCCCCATCAAGGTCGGGTGGAGAAAAACAACCAGCGGTCGATGTATTGTGACGCCCGCGGGGACAACCCATTAACATAGGTCGTGCAGTGGTGGGCATCGATGAATTGCGTACCTACTCAATAATAATAGTAATCATATTATTATTTTTGTTATTATTATCACGTGTCCGTCTCGTGCTGGAGTCGTCCACCCGCTAGAACCCATGCCCACCAGCCCATCACGTAATAATATTATATTGTAGCGTTTACATCACGACTGATGACTCGCAATTTCCAATCCGCGAAAATCGGCTTCGAACGATTCAACGTGTAAACGACACGTCTTATAAGTCGAAAGTATGAAAATGGATGTTTTTTTTAAGAACGCTTTAGCGAGTTAACGAAATAGGATCATAGGGTGGGGTGTTGATATCGTACTAATTTTTTTGCGATTCGTGCGATTACAAACGAGTTGGTTTGATAATACCCCAAGCGTCTAAGTGTATTGTGCACTTGTACATATATAATATAGTTTTAATAAAATCGTAAGACAACTTTAAATAACTGTCACCGTATGCAGAGCGAATACCGCGACGACGGCGCATTTACAAGAGAATATTTGCTGAAAACCGTAAAATATTTGAGACAGGGTTTTTTTTAGTGTGGAGTGAGACATATTTTGTGCAGTGAAAATTGTTACTTTGTGCAGTGCAAAAAAATAATTTCAGCATGATATTTATTGTATATTATAAAATTATACTTAAGTACTATTATTTGATGTAAAAGTTTAACACACAAATTTAAAATAAGTACCTAGTCAATAATTGGTTGT